CGATTCTTGAATCGACCACATGAACACATTATTTTGTAACAACCCGATCTGGATAATGAGCCAATCATCTATCTTAAAGTGGGCATAATTGAAAAAAGTGTTATAGTTTCCCTGAAGACAGTTTTTATTCCCCACTTCCTTACTTGTTCACCTATGCTTTTAGAGAGAATGCATGAAGGTAAATAATAAACATGAAAAAAGATCTCCTTATCTCTCCTTACGTATTCACCAATCAAAAAGCTATTCTTTATTAATCGAATGCTATTTCAAATCAAGCCTAGAAAATAATTATCCTCAAGAAATATTATTTTATGCCGATTCAGTTCATTGTCACAATTTTCTATATCGGCTAGTCTTATGCTCCGAATAATCATAGATTTTAAAACTCCAACGTTTGTTCTATAACTATGATTGGAGAAGAAGTTAAGTATAAAGCCAGCATGTGTTGGCTTTCTATAAACATCCCTGCTTAAGTTCTCACCTGCTGTTTGGGTGTCAATCTTACCTCTTCCATGAAGTGTTACTCCATTCCTGACATATAATTATTAGCTAAAATGGGAGCCAAGCAAAATCCCATTGCTAGACCTTGCACCTGTTCATAAACTTTATCATTAAAGGTAAAGTATATGCTGCTCATGGATAGATTTAGAATTAAGAAGCCTTAAGATTGAGCTTTTGCTCAGAATTGCCTTCCCAATAACTTCTTGGTGCTCATCAAGGCTGAGGGTAATTGCTTCAATAGTTTTATGAACTGGGATGTTAGTATACATTGAGACCACATCAAGACTAACCAAAAGATCCTCCTTTTTCATACTCTGTTGATCTATTAATCTAGCAAATTCATGTTAATTCTTCACTGAATATTTCCAATACTCAGCCAATTTCCTTACTTATCTACATAAGAAACGTGAGATCCTATGCACCACAGTACCCTTGTTATTAACAATCAATCTTAAAGGAACTCCTTCTCTGTGTATTTTTGGAAGGCCGTAAGCAGAAGGTGCCATTGTATTTCTCTGAAGAAGTGAATTCATTTTCCACTTCTTAATTTCTCCTCTGCTTACACAAACGTTAAGCGATTTTCTAAGTCTGGCCTTAAGACTTTCTGTGGAATCCTTCAGTAAAAGTTTGTAAGTTTCTGAGTCATTTAAATGAACAATCATTTTTTCTATATAACTTAACCTATCCATGATGACCTCTGCACCACCTTTATCTGCCTTTAAAACAAACAGATCATTTTGATGAAAATCTCTAGAAACCTTATTCAATTCATAAGATTTCTTTGGAATAATTACCTCATCAAAATGAGGGATCACTTCTCTTTCTATACTATCTTTAGCCTCTTCTGGCAGCTTGTCCGTTAAGTTAATAAACTCAACCAGTATCTCCATAGAATGAGTTTGCTCATCTATAGATGCTAATGTTACGCTCGTCTTGGAAAGGGGTCTAAACTTTGCCTTT